GGACTGAGAGGTCCCAGATAGATTCCGGGTTAGGGCACATGCCTGGTTTTGGGCTTGACCCTCAGTAGCGGCCATGCAGAAGGCCGATGTTTCTCACATCGATGTTTCCATCCCTTTCTCCCTTCCACTCTCTCTAAAAAAAAAAAATCAATAAAAACATAAAAAAATAAAATGTGGTATAATCCGTACAATGGAATAGTATTTGGCAATAAAAAGGAATGAAATACCGATACATGCTACAATTAAGGATAAACCTTGAAATCATTAGGCTAAGAAGTCTGACACAAAGGCCACATATTTTATGATTCCATATGTAAGAAATGTCCAAAACAGGCAAATCCCTAGAGACAGAAAAAGTAGATTAGTGGTTGCCAGGGAAATGGGTAGAGGAGTTATGATTACAGCTGATTGCTAATGAGTACCAAAATCTCTTTTTAGAGGGATGAAATGTTCTGGAATTTTAGTGGTCATGGTTGCACAACATAGCAACTATACTAGCAATTAATTAATATACTTTAATATGGCAGTTTTTATTCTATCAATTATATCAAAAAAAAGAAAAATACTAATTAACATACTAACAAGACAATTAAAGGCAACAACTTTAGTTTACTTTTGAAAAATAAATATAGCAGTAGAGAAATATCTAATCCTTGTCAAAATATGTCCAAATTAACAAACAATAAAGATGGCCCTTATAACTTCCTCAGGAGTAAAAGCAATAAGTCTTTCTGATATTTAGCTTAAGGCCATCTACTGCCAAACTTATTCACTTTCAAAAGATTTCTAAAAGGGTTACTAGAGAACAAGGGACAAAGATTACCCCTTACCTTTCCTTTATTTTTGAGGGACAAATGAATGAGGTCATTTTCTACTGAGGGGTTTAGAAATACCCCAGAAGAGACACATTAGGTTATGTTCTACTGAATGTCAGTATCCCTCAAGTATTAAGCCTCAGAAAATACTATTTGCTTATTCTAAGAAGCATATTTATTTTTATATTTTTTAACATTTCTTGATATCAGAGTCTTTTAAAGTCAATGATTACATTCAATATGATAGTATGTCTTTGCAAAACTATTTCTAAATAATTGTGTGGCATGCACTGAAAAAAATCACACAATCAAAGAAAAAGCAATAATAATAACATCAGTCTCCTAGAAATTATTCTGAGGCTAAAGGAAATCAAACAGGATTTTCTTTAAAAAAATAATGTATCAAAAACCGGCTTTCCATTACTTTTCAATGCCTTTATATGGGCAAGAGGCAGGGCAGTAGAGAAGTATAGGCATAGGTACTGAATTTGTTGAAGATAGGTATCTGTTTATTAACATGGCAATATTCATTATCCACATTATAAGGTGTCTGAAATTGCTCATGTGGTATCTAAAATCATTAACAACCACAGGAAATAGAGGAATTTCATAGAAATATGAGAGATTATTGGCAGAAAAATTCTTTGTGACTCACCAAGTAAAAGGAATATGAAGCTCCATAAGGCCAAGGCCTATCTGACTAGGCAAGGGCTTAACAGGTCCTCACAGAACTGCTAGTTGAAATTTCCACTCACTGTGTTTCTTTATTTTTAGAAGGGTAATTCCACCTTTGAAGTAAAAAAGTCACCAGCTAGATTTTCGGGTCCCTTTACATTCTGGATGATATTGGAGAATATATGTTGGCAAGTGCAAGATAAATAAATGTCTTTGGTAGACACCTCTGTCTTTCCCTTTCATATCAGCTACAAAGACTTATTGATTCTATTGTTTAAATAGCTTTCACGTCCACTCTCTCCTTTCCATCCCTATTACCAAAACCATAATTCAGGTGTCCTCATTGCTGAGATGATTATAACATTAACTCCCATTCAAATGACCCCTAGGCCGCCACTCACTGCCACTCTCTAGGTGCTTTACATTATAGTGAAGCTAAGCTACTAGTAATTTCCTATCAAATTTCTACTCATTCGACCTAGCCGGTGTGGCTCAGTTGTTTGGAGTGGTGGCTCAGTTGGCTGGAGCATTGTCTCATGCAACAGAACATCATGGGTTTGATTCCCGGGTTGGAGCACACACAGGAGGCAACCAATTGATCTCATATCGATATTTCTCTGTCTCTCTCCCCTCTCCTTTCCTCCCTAAAATCAATAATAAATAAATAAATGGTGCTAGGGAAACTGAAAAGCCACATGCAAAAGAATGAAACTAAACTATTTGTCCCCATATATAAAAATTAATTTAAAATGAATCAAAGACCTAAATACAAGACTTAAAACAAATTATATAGGGGAAAACATAGGTACTAAACTTATGGACCTCGGTCTGAGAGAGGATTTTATGAATCTGACTCCAAAGACAAGGGAAGTAAAGGCAAAAATAAATTAATGGGACTATATCAAGCTAAAAAGCTTCTGCACAGCAAAAGAAACTGCCAACAAAACAAAAGGCAACTAAATGAATGGGAGAAGAAATTTCACACAGCTGTGACAAGGAGTTAATGTCCAAAACATATCAAGAACTCATAACAACTCAATTCCAAACAAACAATCCAATTAAAAAATGGGCAGAGGACCTGAACAGATACTTCTCCCAAGAAGACACACGAATGGCCAACAGATATATGAAAAGATGCTCAACATCACTAGCTATTCGGGAAATGCAAATCAAAACTACAATGAGATACCACTTCACACCTGTTAGAATGATTATCAACAAGACAAGTGTTGAAGAGGTTGTGGGAAAAAAAGGATCCCTCATTCACCATTTGTGGGCATGTAAACTGATACAGCCACTATGGAAAGCAGTATGGAGGCTCCTCAAAAAATTAAGAACAGAATTACCCAGCAATCCATCTTCTGGGTATCTACCCCAAAATTTGAAAACATTAATTTGCAAAGTTATATGCACCCCTATGTTCACTGCAGCATTAGTCATGTGGCCAAGACATGGAAACAACCAAAGTGTCCTTCGATAAATGACTGGATAAAGATGTGGTACATACATACAATAAAATACTACTCAGCCATAAGAAAAGATGAAATACTGCCATTTGCAACAACATGGATAGAACTTGAGAATATCATACAAAGCAAAATAAGTCAGACAGAAAAAGTCAAGAAGCATTATGATTTCACTCATAGGTCTGATACAAAACTAAAAGCAACAAATGAACAAACAAGGAAACAAAGACTCATAGACACAGACAACAGTATGGTGGTTACCAGAGGAAACGGGGTTGTGGGAGTAGTAAAAGGTAAAATGGGTTAAATATATGGTGATGGAAGATTTGATTTTGGGTGGTAGGCACACACTGCAATATACAGATGATGTATCATGAAATTGTATACCCGAAACCTATATAAGAAACCAAAGTCGCCCCAATAAATTTAATCAAAAGAAAAAAAAAGCCTAAGCCCAGATGGCTTCACTACTAAATTCTAGTAAGTTTTTAAAGAATTAACACTAATACTTCATAAACACTTCAAAAAAATGAAAGAAGAAGAAATATTTCTCAATCCATTCTATGAGGCCAGTATTACCCAAATACCATAACCAGACAAAGACATCTTAAAACAATAACAACAACAAAATCAACAAATATCTCTTATAAATACTGGCACACAAATCCTCAAAAACAAATCAACAAACCGCCCTGGCCGCTTTGGCTCAGAGGTTAGAGTGTCAGACCGAAGACCAAGGAGTCTCAGGTTTGATTCTGGTCAAGGGCATGTACCTCGGGGATGTGCGGGAAGCAACCAATCAACGTTGTCTCTCTCATGTAGATATTTTTCTTTCCCTCCCTCCCTCCCACTCTATCTGAATATAAATGAAAAAATATCGTCAGGTGAGGATTTTAAAAAATAATAATAAATAAATCAACAAACCAATCTAGCAACATATGAAAAGAAGATTATGGCCCATGACCAAGAGGGAATCATTGCAGAACTGCAAGGTTTCAACATACAAAAATTAATCAATGAGCCTGGCCGATACGGTTCACTGGTTGAGTGTCGACCTATGCACCAAGAGGTTGCTGGTTCGATTCCTGGTCAAGGCACATGCCCAGCTTGCGGGCCCCATCCCCAGTGTGGAGCATGCAAGAGGCAGCCAGTCAACATTCTTTCTCATCAATGTTTCTCTCTCTCTCTCTACTTTCCTCTCTCCCTAAAATAAATAAAGAAAAATATATATATTAAAAAAATTAATCAATGTAACACACCATAATAACAGAACAAAATCCAAAGGGTTATTTCAATAGATTCAGATAAAAACATTTCACAAAATCCAACACCTACCATGACAAAAATACTCAACACACTAGGAAAAGAGAATTTCCTCCATATGATAAAGGGACGACATTCAATCCACTGAGCCACATTGGTCAGGCTGGACATTTTACCTGTTAAGTAAGTGACACATTCTGGCTATCTATGTAGACTGTGCGATCTCCAGGAAATGATGACTTTCTTGGGCCTTATCTGTATCTTACTTGATTTGGTAAGGATGATTTTAAGGATAAAATGAGAGAAGACATGAGAAGTCCTGAGCACAGTATTAGGAACAAAAGAGACATAATATCTCTGAAATCTAACTTTAGTACTCAAGACTATTGCTTAGTAGCTGCAAAGGAGAATCACATACTAAGAGTAATCATACGAATTTCTAAGTCATATTTTGCAACTTTTAGTACACTATTTTAAATATGTATTTTTTATTGTTTTTTTTTTTTAGAGAGAGGAAGTGAGAGATAGAAACATTGATGTGAGAGACAAACATCAATTGGCTGCCTCCTGCACACCCCCCACCAGGGATCAAGCCCCCATCCCTGGCATGTGTCCTGACCGGGAATCAAACTGGGACCTCGCAGTCCATGGATGATGCTCAATCCACTGAGCCACACTGGCTGGGCAATTTTTAAAAGTTAAGTTCATTATAAAACATAGCATAAACTTACGCTAGATACAGTAATATTTCAGTAATAAAGAAGATAATTTACAAATTTACCTTGATCAAATATTTTTCCCATCTGTCTGCTGTAACGGATTTGCCAATCTTCCTCATCAACTTCAAATGGAGCTCCACCAATTCTTTTGGTACTTAAAATGAAGAAAAAATACTGTTAGCTGGCAAAATAAAAAACAAAAAAATGCAACATTTAAATTATTTAAAAAGACCCTTCCCCCACAAGATGTTGATTTTAAATATCTTTTAGGTATCTGAATCAGAAAAGACTAAACTAAGGCAAGAAACTACTGAGAACTACTTTAATATGAGTAGGTATATTCACATTTTCTTTAACAATATCAAGTAAGAGTAAACTCTAATGTAGACTATGGACCTGTGGGTGATCTGTGATGTGACAGTGTAGGTTCATCAATTGTAACAAATGTACCACTGTTGTGCAGGATATAGTATATCGTGGCAGAACAGAGCATATGAGAACTTGGATACTTTGTGTTCAATTTTTCTGTGTATCTAAAACTGCTCTAAAATAAAGTCTATAAAAAAAAACATAAAGTAAAACTACTTAACTATACAATTAAAATTTCTACTGTTTTACAAAACACATATTTGGTTTCTTTACTGAGACTGCAGATCAACATAGATTCATAGAATTAAAAAGAAATCAAGAAATATATATTCCAAGTTGATAGATATCTCAGAAATAGTCAAATGGTTTTCAAACTGTTTCTGAAAACTACTCTTCAAAACCATCCCTTATCTATTGTAGTAAACTCTTCTATAGCATCCTTATAAATGGATGCTTGATAACCTTCAGCAAGGACAAATTTGCTTACCTTCCAAAGTTCTAATTATTAGAAAGCTACCTTTACACAAAATGGAAATCTGCCCTCCTCCCTGGTTCTTGCTCTTATTCTCATACGTTCAATTCCTCTTCTATTGGGACCTTCAAATATTTGAAGATTGCTATTATCTTCCCTCAGATTCTCTTCTAACTGTAAACAACTGGAGTTCCTCCAAAAATCCCTTGGGCATGATGATTATATTGTTTAATTATATTAATTTGACCTGAGGGAAATGAAGAACACACACATGCCAGTCAAGTTTAGCATTTTCCAAACACCAAAACCCATTAGTAACCTAGGAGAAATTATGGGCATATTATCTACAAAGGTCCCATAAATTAACTTCTTTAGGAAAATGCTGGATTAAAAAAAATTTGTTGTTTACTGCAAGACTTCTTAAAGCCTTTACTGATTGTTCCTATGTGCACTTCCTAATATATTTGATCATGGAACCTTTCTTTATGAAACACACAATATCTTGTAGGATATAAGTGCTCTGAAGTACAGGTTGGGAAATGATGGACTAATTTTTTTCAGTCATTCTTTCAGACTCTTTATTCTCCACTAAAGCTAGTTGCAACTTAAAAGGATCTTCAAGTAGAAACACTTTCAACCATTCAAAAAATTTTTGTGGGTCCACTATTAGTAAGCAACAGATAGTCTCTGCCCTTAATGAGCCTACTTAAGTGAGTCTTCTTAGGGGGTAAGACCATGGGTGAGTTAGAGGTAAGGAAAGAAGATAGGAGGGGTGGTTGTAGACAAGTAAACAGACAATTATACTAAGCCAAATCTGAAGTATGGTATTGAGGGAGGAGTAGAAAAAAAGGGAGGAAGGGCATTGCTTACATAATTAGCTGCAGATACAAAAAGCTGAAAAACAAAGTGATCGTGAACTGGAGGCATGAACACAGAAAAAGGGCATGATCATGAAAGAGCATTATAAGGCCAAGCTAAGAAGTATACCTTTTACTTAAAATGTAGGTAAGAGAGTGCTCTTTGATTTAGAAAGATCTCAATGGCTGAATTTTAGGAAAAAACTGCTTTTATTTGCTTGTTTGTTTTAGGAGGTAGGGTAGAGAGCAGAGATTAGATGTAAATTCAGGAAAATGTCAATCCAGAAAGATATGAGTCACCTGAACTAAGGTGGAGGTGGTACAGAAAGAAGTTGGAACAAAAAAGAAAAAGAAAAAAGAAGAAGTAGTTGGCAGATCTGAGAAATGTTTAGGAAACAAATAATAAAACTTAGTGATTGACTGGTTGTGCAAAGTAATAGAGTCAAGAAAACTGGAGGCACTGGAGCACCTTAGGAAGAAAAAGACATGGGATCAACTCAGCTCCACCACTTACTACAAGGAGACTGATTCTGGTCAAGTTCTTTAAACACTGAATCTTAAATTCCTTCATTCCTCAAAAAAGGGCTGCATTGGTTTTATCTTACAGTTTCAAAACTATAAAACATTCTAAACAGCTAAATACCTTTATTTTTATTGTTATTTTGGGAACCAAGGTCAATTTCAATTTCTCCTTTTCACTTTCCCCCAAACAGTAAGAACAGTTAAGTCCTTTTTTTTTAAACCTCTTTGGAGAATATGTTTTTATTGATTTTAGAGAGAGAGGAAAAGAGACACACAGACAGAAACATCCATCGGTTGCTTCCCGTATGCACCCTGACCAGGAATCAAACCGGAGAACTTTCAGTGTACAGGGTAACGCTCCAACCAAATAAGCCACACTGGCCAGGGCACCCCCAAACAGCAAGTCTTGATGATTCTGCCTTCCTCTATCTCAAACCTGTTCCCTATTTCCCCCTGTTTCTCTAGGATATCAATGTACCTTCTTCAGAAAAATAGCTACAAATAATCAAACCAATCCTCCAAAAACATTGCTTTCATGTCACTTCCCACTTCATAAGTATCTTTTATGGCCCCTAAATACCTATATAAACTCATCCAGATTTCTTTCCATAGCTTCAGAGTCCTTGCAATATTCAGTGTTGACCTAACTCTCCAGTCCTCTCACTCCTACACTGAAATCTTTGATTCAAATCATTTTGGCCTGTTCACCATCCACTAAGCATACGCAGTCCACTACCTATCTGGGCTTTATTCAAGCCCTCCAGCTTACTGTTTTCTGCCCACTTGAAACATATTCGTAAAATAAAAATCCTAAATGTCTCTGAGATAGCTTTTCAATGATTCCAGCAACAGCTTTGGCCTTGGAATGCTCACAGTATTAATACTGTCTGTATATCTCTCATTTAGGAGTTGGCTAAAAGCTTTGCATTTTTTACGCATGTCCTCCAATATCATATAGATATACAAAAATCACAAAAAAAAAAAAAATTGATACAATTGCAACTATTTTTAAATATCCAAGGTAAGCCCTGGCCAGTTTTGCTCAGCAGTCAGAGCTTCAGCCCGTGGACCAGAGTCGTGGGTTCAATTCCAGTTAAGGGCGCATACCTTGGTTGCAGTTCAGGCACCAGCCCTGGTGGTGGTGGGGGTTATGCGGGAGGCAACCAGTCGATGTCTCTCTCTCACATCGATGTTCCCCCCTCTCTCTCATCGATGTTCCCCCCTCTCTCTCCTCCTCCCTTTCACTCTATCTGATCATAAATGAAAAAATATCCTTGGGTGAGGATTTTGAAAAATTAAAATAAAAATCCAAGGTAAAAAAATATGCAAAATGTTTTCATCCCACTTTACAAATACAGTCATTGTTGATTTAGGTATGTAGAAATAGATTATAGAGGGTGGGACAAAGTAGGTTTATAGTTGGAAATATACCAAACACAGTTTATTGTTATATTATTATTTATTACTATTTTCCATACAAATAACTGTAAACCTACTTTTGCCCCACCCTGTATATTACTTGATTAGCTTGTTAGAGCACTGGCTCTTGAAAAGCACTGTCCAACAGAAAATAAAATGAGCCACAGGATTTCAAATTTTCTAGTAGTTCCCTCATAAAAGTAAAAGAGAGATCAAAATTAATTTCAATAATTTGTTTAACACTATATATTCCAATGTTACTTTAACATATAATCCATATTTAAAACTCCTGACATTTTATACTTTTTACTTGGTTTTTAAATCTTATTTTTTTTAATTGAGGTATAACTGACATAACAGTATATTAGCTTCAGGTGTACAACATGATTTGTGTATACATTATGAAATGATCAACACAGTAAGTCTACTTAACACCTGTCCTTTACAGTTACAAAAAAAAATTTTTCTTTTGATAAGAGCTTTTAAGATCTATTCTCTTAGCAACTTTCACATATGTAATACAGTAACATTAACTGTAGTCACCATGCTGTACATTTAATCAACATGACTTATTTATTCTATAACTGGGAGTTTTTATCTTTGGAACCCTTTCATCCATCTTACATGCTTTTTTGTACTAAGCATTCAAAACATACTGTGCATTTTACACTAATAGCACATCTCAATTCACACTAGCCATATTAGATCATACAGAGTTAGAAATATTTAAAACTAAAATTTATGCCCAAGCTGGTGTGCCTCAGTTGATTCAAGCGTTAATCCCTTACATCAAAAGGTCGTAGGTTTGATCCCTGGTCAGTGTGTATACGGAGGGCAACCAGTCGATGTTCTCTCTCACATCAATCTCTCTCTCTCTCAAATCATTAAGAATATCCTTGGGGAAGAATTAAAAAGAAAAAAAGAAAGAAACAACTAAAATTTATAATCCATAATTTACTTATATATTTTTTAGATAAAAATGACATGTAACACTATATTACTTTCAGGGGTACAACACAGTTATATTTGTATACTATTGTATACTATTGTGAAATAGTATCTAGTTAATTTAATTATATTTGTTGTTACAAATAGAACTGACAAGTCTGTACAATGTGGCTCACTGGATTGAGTGTTGTCTCATGAACTGAGAAGTTCTGGGTCAATCTCCAGTGTGCAGGAGGCAGTCGATCGATGTATGTCATGCATCGATGTTTCTATCTCTCTCTCTCTAAAAAAACAACAACAAAAAAGATCAATAGAATTGACAAGCAAATAACCTTTATGGACACTGGTAGCTTTCAACATTTGTCACTTAATAATAAATGGGCAGCCCTGGTCAGTGTGGCTCAGTTGGCTGGCGTCACCACATGCACCAAAAAAAGGTTGCTGACAGCCAGACCAACCTGGAGCTCTACGCTTCCTACGTCTACCTGTCCATGTCTTACTACTTTGACCACGATGATGTGGCTTTGAAGAACTTTGCCAAATATTTTCTTCACCAATCTCAGGAAGAGAGGGAACATGCTAAGAAACTGATGAAGCTGCAGAACCTCCAGGATATCAAGAAACCAGACTGTGATGACTGGGAGAACGGGCTGAATGCAGTGGAGTGTGCATTACACTCAGAAAAAAGTGTAAATCAGTCACTACTGGATTTGCACAAACTGGCCACTGACAAAAATGACCCTCACTTGTGTGACTTCCTTGAAACTCACTACCTGAATGAGCAAGTGAAATCCATCAAAGAACTGGGTGACTACCTAAGCAACTTGTGCAGATTGGGGGCCCCTGAAACTGGCATGGCAGAGGATCTCTTTGACAAGCACACCCTGGGAGACAGTGACGAGAGCTAGAGCTAAGCTTTAGGCTGCCTTCCCATAGCCATGGGGGTGACTTCCCTGGTCACCAAAGCAGTACATGCATGTTGGAGTTACCTTTACCTTTTCTATACCTTGTACAAAATCATCCACATACATCTTTTCATTCCTTCAAATAAAGTAATTTGGTACTAAAACAAAACACACACACACAAAAAACAGGTTGCTGGTTTGATTCCAGGTCAGGGCACATGCCTGGGTTGTGGACTCAATTCCCAGTGGTGGTGGTTGGCCAGGGGGTGCGGGGGACAGGTGATCAATGATTTGCTTTCTTGTCAATATTTCTCTTTCCCTCTCCCTTCCTCTCTAAAAATCAATAAAAAAATAAAACCTTTAAAAAAATAAAATGGAGCCCTGGCCAGTTTGGCTCAGCAGTTAGAGCATCGGCCTGCAGTCCGGAGAGACCCAGGTTCGGCTCCCACTAGGGGCATGTACCTTGGTTGCAGTTTGTCCCCGGCCCTGGTTGGGTAGTGCAGGAGGCAGCCACCCAATGTGTCCCTTTCACGTCGATTTTTCTCTCTCTCTCTTTCTCTCTCTCCCTCCCACTCTATCTGAGCAAAAAAAAAAAAAAGGAAAAATATCCTCAAATGAGGATTAAAAAATAAAATGGGCAAAAATGTCAATAGAAAAATTAATCAACATTATAGTTAAATTGAAAATATTAAAATTGCCCTGGCTGGTTTGGCTCAGTGGTTACAGCGTCTGCCCGCGGACCAGAAAGTCCTGGGTTCAGTTCCCGCTAAGGGCACATACCTCTGTTGCAGTTTGTCCCCAGCCTGGCTGGGGTCATGTTGGTGGCAACCACTCGATGTGTCTCTCTCCTCTCTATTTCTCCTTCTCCCCCTCCCGCTCTATCTGAAGATAAATGCAAAAATGTCCTCAGGTGAGGATAAGAAAAAAAAAAAAATTAAAATTCCCATACTTTGTACAGTCATCCCTTGGTATCCATAGGGGATTAGGTCAAGGACTCCTGGAATACCAAAATCCACAGACACTCAAACTCCCTTATATAAAAGGGCATTGTATTTGCATATAACCTATGCATATCCTCCTCTATACTTTAAATAACCTCCAGATTACTTATAATACCTAATATAATGTATATGCTATGTAAACAGTTATACTGCATTATTTGGAGAATAATGACAATAGTCTTTACATGTTCAGTACAGATCCAACCATGGTAGGTCTAACTGCATAGCACAGGTCAGCAACAATGTAATATTTTTGTTAAATATTTTCCACCAGCAGTTGATTGAATCCCCAGATGCAGAACCTGCAGACAGGAAAGGCTGACTTTACTCTCTAACAATACTATATATTCAATACTATATATTCTGTGATAACAGAAATATTTTATATATATACTTCCCAATATAGCAGCCTTCTTAGCTACAAGCAAAATGTGACTACTGAGTACTTAATATGTAGCTAATAAAACTGAGAAATTAAACATTTAATTTCATTTATTTTTAATTTATTTAGATTTAAATAGCCACATATGGCAAGTGGCTATGATCCTGGACAGTGCGGCTGAAAATTTCCAATTATATTTTTAAGACATATAATCATTTGCTAAAATACAGAGAATTTGCAAATTCACTTATCACCCAAAACATTTTCTAAATAATCTCATTTCCAGAACATTAATTAACATCCTTCTAAAGAATTATCTATTTACCAACTTCATGTCATTCTGAAAAATATGTTTTATACCAATTGAACCAAAACCTCTCCCTTTTCACATGCTAGATTTGATACAAAACCTTTAAGAGACCTGTTGCATAAGGCCTCAGGAGGTGAAAGATTCTGAAGCAGAAGAAAAAGTGAGAGGCTATGTGAATTCATGAAGAGTCTGGCAAATGATGTAGGTTTGAAGCAGCAGGAAGATGCATGCAATCCAGAATGCATTGCGGATCCAATCATCCAAAGATATTCTATATTTTGACATTTTTCTAAGCATCTTTCCAGCACCAAACCTTAGGAATGCTGCTGCTTCTGAAATCTAGTCCTGTTGCATACAAGTGTTCTTAAATGGTAGAAATTTATAGCAGCTCATAATTAAATGATCTAATTCTTCTCATTTCTCAATAAAGTTTTTTACTTAAACTTCCTCTATGCTTACAAGCACAAGAACAGTTGATTTTATGAAGGACACTGATAAAAGAGCATTGCTTTTAGATGCAGTGATTGGTTGATTAGCTTACAGTAAGTTTTTATTTACAAACTTTGTTGGGGAAGCCCAGTTTTAGCAATAATAAGAACTGGTTCCACAGGCCACCTGATCCTTTAAAGAACTGTTATGTATTTATATACCTTATCTTCAAAAATCTCATTTAATCAATCATCCTAAAGTTTGCTGAAAAGCAAAGTTGCTCAAGACTATTGTTATGTAAGGGAGGAAAAATCATTTTCCCTCTCCCCTTTTGGGTTCTTTTTTTCCTAAATCCTCACCCGAGGACATTTTTCCATTTTTTGTTCAGAAAGAGTGGGAGAGATAGAAAGAGAGAGCAACATCAAGGTGAAAGGGACACATCGAGTGGTTGCCACCCGCACGACCCAACCAGGGCAGGGGACAAACTGCAACCAAGGTACATGCCCTTAGTGGGAACAGAACCTGGATCTCTCTGGACCGCAGGCCGACACTCTAACCGCTGAGCCAAACCGGCCAGGGCCCCTTTTGGCTTCTTGATTGGAACATCCGTGCAATAAAAGACAGATTAACAGGAGAAGAAAACACACAAAAGTTTAATAACATATATACTTCATGAACACATGGGAGAGACCCAAGAAAATGGGAGAAACTTGCCAAAATGGCTGAAGTCACCACCTTAAATACCATCTTCAGCTGAAGACAAAAGATGTTGAGGGCAGGAGGAGTCAGCTAAGGGAAGTTACGTGGAAAAGCATAGTAAAGGGCGAGGTTTTTGTGAACATTTAAGTCATGATCTTCTGCACTGAAAAGAGTTTGCAAAGATAAGGTCATCCCTTCTTTCAAGTATAGTGAGGGAGACACCCCTACTAATGGAGGTTTCCCTTATAAATGTAAATGTACTTTACAAAGGGTAATTTCTATTTGGGTTTCAGAACTTCTCCCATGTCTGTGGCCTCTTAAAATTAACCAGCCTAAAATAATCCTTATGCCAAATAGACATATTTTGGGGTAACAATTTTTCCCTGTAAAGCTCCTAAGTAACAAACTTGTTACAGCATGTTACTGTACTAAATACCATAGGCAATTATAACACAGTAATATTTGTGTAATGCACTGCACTACATCACTACATCTACATCACTAAGCAACAGGGATTTTTCACCTTCATTATAATCTTATGGGACCACTGATGTGTATGCAGTCTGTCACTGACTGAAACTTCATTGTCTGTCATTGACTGAAACTTCATGGTGCAGCACGTGACTGTATGTGTATTGTAAAAAACACTAGACAGAGTCAGAGAAAGAGGTGCAAACCTCAATTATCTCATCCATAAATGGAGTTTTACTAGATGATCAAAGTCCTCCATCTCTAATATTCAGTGTTTATGTCTACATATCGAGTTAGGTATTTATTTGCCTTATAATAATGACAGTTAATCACAGGATATTAGAATTCTTTAACTGAAGGCAATGATCTAATTCAAACTCTCTGGTAGACTGGAAAACTTAGCAACTAAGATGTTATGTGAACTGCCCAAGATCAAATAGAAGCCAAGCAAGAGCCCAGACCTCTCGCCTTCAAACCCAAGGCTCTTTCTAATGTTTCTTTAAATATCAAATGGATGGAGGAACAGATTACAAAACCTAACTTACAAATTACACCACCCTTTCTGTATAGCTGTTGTTGGGTTTTGATCTTGCCGACACACTGTGAGACATTATCCATTTCTAAAATGTAATCTAACAGTTGTCATAGCAACAGAAAGACTATTACTACTCCTCCCAATCCATTTTTTCTTTTTTCCCAACAGCTTTATTGAGATGTAATTCACTTACTATATAATTCATCCATTTAAATATACAAATCAATTATGTCAATGATTAATTTTAATTGTGGTAAAATATACAACATAAAATTTGTTAAGATTATTTTATTTTATTTTTTATTTTTATTTTTTTATCCTCACCCGAGGACATTTTTCCATTTTTTGTTCAGGTAGAGTGGGAGGGAGAGAGAGGAACAGAGAGAGAGATAGAAACATCGATGTGAAGGGACACATCGAGTGGCTGCCACCCGCACGACCGACCAGGGCCGGGGACAAACTGCAACCGAGGTACGTGCCCTTAGCGGGAACCGAACCCGGGTCTCTCAGGACCGCAGGCCGACGCTCTAACCGCTGAGCCAAACCGGCCAGGGCTGTTAAGATTATTTTAGATGTATGTTGCAGTGGCATTAATTAAATTCACAATATTGCGCAATTATTTGCACTATTTTCCAATCCAATCCCATAGTTAAAACTCTTGAAAAAAACCACTCCACTTCCAAATTGCATTATGGAAAATTTATAATTATGAAAGCAAAGCCCACTATAGTATATACTTTCAAATGGGGTGAACAGGGGTGATACTGACCTCAAGGGGGCAGACACTGGTCCTTGAGGGAGGCAAAAAATCTCAGATAATGGTTTATGGTTTTCCGTATCTTAACTATTTCTGACAAAATCTTATTCCTTAGTATTTAATTTCTATTGCTAAAGAGAAAATTTCTTTTAAATTAAAATTTTCTCTGTAGGGGTACGACCATGAAATAAAGTTGAGAAACACTGCTCTTTCTGCAGTGCTCAAACTGCAGCAAGACTATGTATCCCACTGAAACCCAAGCCAAATTGTAAATTGCCTACCTACCCCACAAGATCTGATTTTATCCAAGTTAAACAAAATAATGGAAAAAATTATCACGTAATTTTAATATTTAAAGCAGAAAATGAAGTATATTAGCTGAAACACTGATTTTAAATTTATCTCAAATGCTGATAATTTAAGAGAAAACAAGAACCAAGTATAAACAAAGCGTGGGGAGGGGAGAAAGAAAATAAGGCTAGGCTCTTTGACATCATATAGTCTTAACTATCTTTATAGTCTCACTTTGCAAATATCTATCATCTACCTCCTCTTCCTCCTCTCTCTGTGAAGATAAGGACCAGCGATATCTGCCTCCCTTTTTTTTCTTTATTGATTTTAGAGAGAGGGGAAAGGAGAGGGAGACAGAAAGAAACATCAATGAGAGAGAACATCGCATCGATTGGCCGCCTCCTGCATGCTCCTCACTGGGGATCGGACCCACAACCTGGGCATGTGTCCTGACCTGAACTGAACTAGTGACCTCTTGGTGCATGGGTCGACAATCAACCACTGAGCCACACCGGCCGGGTCTATCTGCCTTTTTCATCACTGGATTCACAGCACCAAGCACAGTACCTGGTTCATTCAACTATCGGATGAACTAAAATAGGGATAAGAAAAAGGAGAAAGAAAGAGACAGGGAAAGAAGGAGTGAGGAAAGTAAAGTTCTCTGGGAAAGTAGGAAAAACAGAGAGTTCCTGTAGATGTGAAGGAAAAATTATCTGAACTAACAGTATGCAGGAAAGTGGTGAGAAACACGAGATGAAAAAGATGGCAAAAGTGGCTTTGGGTTTCAGTTCACTGTGAGAGCTTTCAGGTAATATCATTAACCCAAGACAATTTATTTACAGATTGTTTTTTCCCCTTTCTCTTCCTTTCCAGGGGAGAGATGAAAAAGCTGAACACTTCCGTGGATATTTGTATATAGGAGTAAATAATGTTTATATGTTTAACTAAAGAAATATCCATCTACAGAGATTTTCTAACACCAGACCTCTATAAAGTGCCAAGTTTCCATTCTCATCATGTACAATCAATATAGTCCAATAGGCCCCCACCACCCCGCCCCACTTAACTGCAGTTTTGCTTTCTGTTACTGAGCTTATGTTACTCAAAGTCAACTGCAGTAAAATAATAATTAAAAATTCCAAAAATAAACATTTAAAAAGTTTAAACTGTGAGCCATTCTGAGTATCGTGATGAAATCTCACATAATTCCACTTCATCCTACCTGGACATGTGTATACACCTCACTTCATTTCATCACGAAGGCATTGTAGCATCTCATGTCATCACAAGAAGGGTGAGTATAGTACAATAAGATATTTTGAAAGAGACCACATTCACATTACTTTTATTATAACTTTTGTTATAACTGTTCTATTTTATTCTTAGTTTTTGTTGCTAATCTCTTATGGTGCGTAATTTACAAACTAA